TCAAAAGAAAGAACTGGAATACATACATTGCATCTTGTATACATTAATTGTTTGAAAACAATACGGTAAATTCAAAGATATGATACATAATAAACTAATAAAATCAATGTTAAGATAAAATCAATTTTAAGATTAAAAATAATTTTGTGTATCAGAAAATTTTCAAATTTCACATGTGAAATCTTTATAATGTCCAGATAGTTATCAAATGTTTTTAAAGAAAAATTTTTATATTTTATCGGTTATTTTCAGTAACGAATCTCTGTACAGGTTTGGTAGATTTGACTGAACTTTAAACCACATTACAAAAAATCAGGAAATAAATATAAGTTATGCCTTTTTCATTCCAGAATGACTACAAATGATAACACAAAAACATAAATGTTTAAGCTAAATAGCTTAAATCTCCTAACATTATACATTTATATGTAATTATTATTTTTATTATATTGACCTTTCAGCCATGCCTGGCTAACAATACAGAAGTTACAATAATACAGTGCACTCATGTTACCATATCCAATATTATAAAACTCACCTTAAGTATTTACAAAGTAACTTGTCTTGGCTGTGTTTTAGTAGACTAGTATTTTTGTTAAATAGTTACATTTCAATTATTATATTTATATATAGATTATTACCATTTAGAATATGTTCTTAAACTTACTTTTCATAAAAACATAGAACAGTAAATAAAGAAGTAAAGCACACAATTCCCTTTTCTAGTTATGACCTTTGTACTCGGTTGCTGCTTGACGTAGATTGCTAAGCCTTTTAAAATTTTGCATGTGGAGGATATGAAACAAAATATTTTTTGGTTTTACAAATACTTTTGAGTAACTAAAAAAATCATAACTTACTATATCAATACAATAGAATTCGACTATAATTTATCAAGCTTAATAACTAAGCTGTATTTTAGTCTAAAAAATATGAAATTTTGACCAGACTAAAGACACGACCTACCTCCTTGAAATTTTTGTTGAAAGAAATATATAGTATCCAAACACATTAAAATGGCTGAGAAAGCCACTAGTGGGACATTCTGAGCTTTTGATTGGTTATTCATGTCATACATACACGTAAGTGCAGATAATGGAGAGTTTTCAAAAATGGAGAGATGGGTGGGATGCCACTGTGTTTGCTTTATTAGATGAAAATATCTTAGCAAATTGAAAAGATAAGAGGCTCTTATTTTATATTCTAGCTTATCAATATCAGTAATTTGAGTTCCTAATATGTACAAAACTATAAACTTTGTATTTTGACATCACCAAAATCTAATTTGAACCGGGGCTGCATTCAACATACCACGTGACAAAAATCGATGTTTAACTGTGTAAATTCATGAAATAGTAATTCAATAAAATTCTGAATGTGAGTCAACAAACAAGATGACATGATCTTTTAACCATGACCTGTCTGGAAAGGATTAATAAAACAGCTTTGTAAACAGCTATAAAATTTAAATATGATTGGATAAATGTTTAAGATTTTTTCTAGTTTATATAAATTTTACTTTCAATTCTCTTTAGTTTGAGCTATTGATGTATTTGTATGTTAAATTCCATGTTTGAAAGCTACAGAAAATGTCTTCAATAAAAAGATATGAGATAACTTGAGATAAGATAGGTTTATACAGTCTAGAGGGATTGAATGGATAACAAAGCAAATTATATTCCAAGTTTAACACATTAACAAGTGTAGAAAGTTTGAAGATGTTTGTCATCATCAGGTATAAGTAGTTTATCTCAGCACAGGAATATATATTCAGCATGAAATAATGAAGAAACATGACTGGGAATTGCTGAAGGTTTACTAAAGATTTTGTTGATGTTTTGTTCTTTCCTTAAATAAATTTTAATAGATATACTATGGTTTTATTGAGTTGCAATTTTGGTAAAGATGTTTTTACTATGTTTACCAAATAAAGTAAAATTTAAATAAATCAAATTAAGTTTACTGTTTGATGAGTAATACAAGTGACTACAAAATAATTTAATGACTAAAATTTTATTAAATGTTATTTTTATGCTTACCCTATTAAAAAAATGTACAAGTTGGCTAACTGGCTACTTAATTATTTGTAACTACAATCATATGTTTTAAATAAAACATTATTACCCTTATTGGTGATAGTAAAAATATTTTCCTTATTTATCAATTTATTTGATTTACAGATTATTGTAGAATTACTTCATATATTAAAAAAAACATAATGATGACTGCATGACAGTGGTAGTATTTAGGCAACTTTATTGATTCCTTCTCCAAGTGGAAAATATATAGATTATCTTTAAGAAATTGTAACCTTCAGAAAAACCTATTATATGAAAAGAAGGAAATGATTTAAAAGAAGCAAAACAATGTAATTGAAAATAATAAGATTACGATCATTAAGATAAATTCTGTGGTTGAAAATGTTATGAAGCTAGCACGTGCCCACAGGCAGAGAGGGAGCAAATCAATTTATTAAATGCAAGTGATTAATGAGCCCATCCATTGACTAACAAATACCACTAATCACCAAACTCTATGTAACAGTGTAATAGTTGTACCACAGTTTTGTTTTTTACTAAATAAGCTTATGCAATGCATACTTGTAAAAAGAAGCATTCAATTCTTCACTTTTGAGTTCATTTTATAAGTAAAATTCATTAAGTTACCTATTTGCTGTTAAAATTCTAGTGTTGCATTAACAATCAGTAAACAAACAACAAAACACCAAGTTATTGAAAGGACAAGCATTTTTCCACTACAATTTTGAAAGATTTTCACACAAATACAATTTACCACACACTTGCCAGAATGGACATTTATGTTGAGCCCTAGGAAAACTCCACCTGTAGAACCTAGATGTCTTTCACATCTACTGATTTCAGATAAGATCACTTCAGCTCATGTAATGGAACAGCTAGTGAAAGAAGTCCTCCCTGTTATTCCAACTGCTACCACAATTAGAAGCTCCTACACCCTAGATGGTTTCCTGCTCTTTCTCTCCGTTACCACAATTAGAAGCTCCTACACCCTAGATGGTTTCCTCCCCTTTTGGGGAGAGGAAGTTACAACAATTTCCAATCCCAATCAAGTCAACAACTTCTCTACCACAAGCAGTAATGATAACAGTAAAGTTGTAAGTACCAGTTGGTCATCACCTCCAAAATATTTGCTAATCATGTCTCCATACCATGTGTCCAAGAAGAATTTTACAAAATGGAGGTATCATCACCAACAAGCAATGACCATGAAATAGTCAGCTATTGCTAAAGTGTGAGGTATAGAAAAAGAGACTAAAGCAGGCAAAAATTTTTGCCAAAACTGAAACACAGGCTATATCCTGTGCGTGTTTATGCTTTACAAGACTTTGATTTCTATAAAATTTTATCTAATTCTAGCTAGGTGTATTCAAAATAATAATAAAAAGTAAAATATTCCCTAATATATAATATTTGAATGATCATTCTACAAAACATTTTCCTAACAAAAGAATTAAAGTGCAACATTTCAAGCTTATGTCAACACCAGAAATTCCTACCGACACGGGTCAAAGGCCATTTCATCACATTTGTAGACTCACATTCAAAGTTTTATTGAATTAGTATTTCATGAATGTATGTCAATAAGTTTGGTAGATTATAATTCAAATTTTAATATTATACATTAGTTAATTTCTTAATTTAAAAGTAAATATAAAAATAAATCCTACATATTGATTTTTGTGTGTCACATAGTATGTTGAATGCAGCACTGGTTTAAATTAGATGTTTGAGATGTCCAAATACAAAATCTATAGTTTCTTACAAATTAGATACTCAAATTACCAATACTGACATGCTTAAATACAAGATAAAATCCTCCTATCTTTTTTATTTTCTGAGATATAAATATATTTATTGAATTAACCAAAGTAACCCTGCCCACATCTTCCATTTTTGAAAATACTTGCTTATGTACACCTATTTCGCCCAATGACGTATGTATAACCAATCAAAAGCACAGAATGTCCCCTTAGCGGTTTTCTCAGCATCTGCAAATTATTTGCATGGGAAACTTTGTTTTCATGCTATATTCCATGCGATAAAGTAAAACATTAGTGAGCTCAAAAAATCATTTTTTAGACCCAAATACAGCTTAGTTACTAAGCTTGATAAATTATAGTGAATTATGTGGTACTGACATAGTAATTTACGATTTTTTGTTATTTCAAAATGCATATATAAAACCTAACAAAGAGTATTTTCTTTTACATCCTTCACATGCAAAATTTGATAAGGCTTAGTAACTTATGGCAAGCAGCGATTGAGTACAAAGTTCATAACTAGAAGAAACAGAACAGTAGATAAAGAAGTACAGAAGACAATTGTGTTTTAAGAAAAATAACTGAAATTTAAGAACTTATTTGTAAATAGTAATAATGTATATAAATACGTATGTAATGTATCATAACTGAAATGCAACTGTATTTTACAAAATACTGGTCCACTAGAACATCACTGTACATTGGTTCTTTAAAGTAGTCCCTGCATACTCACCAACGAGTGAAAGTAAAAATTAATATCTACTCTTTATATTTCATGAAATTATTATTTACTCTCCAGAATTAAAGTGCTTGCCTCCACTATTGCCAATAGCAATTTCTGTGTGTTCAAATTCGATGACGAGGAACCCACTTTTAGACTAATAATGGTTGGAGACGGCTTGAATGGGTAATTTGCTGTTATGTTAAACTTATATTAGTTTTCTTCATTACCCATTCAAGCAGTCTTCAACCATTATTAATTTCTATGTGTGTGTATATATAAGCTAATCACCTTGCTGTTACTAACAGTGTTAGTGTTAACACTTATCTGATCATTAGAATGATTATCTCATAAATGATAAAATAAATTATACAAATTTGTAATTACAATTCACAATACACTTTTCAAAAATACTGATGGCAAATTCAAAATAAAGATTATTTTTCAAATGATAATCACAGTACAGGTTAGAATGCTTACACGTTTTAAATGTAAATCTCGAAGCCTTTTTATCCGTTCAGATTGTCGCTGTTTTGCTGAAGGAAGCTGATAATATGGCGATCTTAGGCCTACTACATCTTGCTTACAACTAGTATTACTACTAGTACTATTCTGTTCCATGATATATCAAAGTTAATAATATAAATAACATACAATTTACTTTCTTTTTTATGTATGTCAAGAAACACACACTACTAAAAAATGAAACAAACAAGCCACTAATTTTAAGATACTGAAAATTGCAACGACACAACAGTAAATCAACACGATCAACCACAACCCTCTCGCTAATATTAATACCTATGAGCAGTCTATGTTAATTGTATCAGACTGAACTCCTCAAAACTTTCTTGGGTAACATGATAAAGCGTCACCTAGCGCTGAGGTGCAAATACCTTACTACATTCACTCTCAATGATGACCGATAGGAGCGTAAAATTAGCTCTGCGTGTGATTTTATCAGCACACAATTAATTTTTCCAAACTGACGAGAATGATGACAAAAATGAAAGAAACAAAAACTGCCTTCAAAAGTTCAAAAGTACTCAGAAACCCTTCTACCCTTGCAATCGGAAAACCAGTTCCAGCAATATTTCAAGAACTGACCCGAAATTTGCTCACCAAAATTACAGATGCTGGTTTTAAATGTAGAAGACCACATATTAAAACTGATAAATATTGTTACGTCTCCGTTTGTTAAATAACTTTCCGTAACTTCGTTCCGACGAAACTTTAGCGACACAAGTTCTTTACTTAATAAAACTGGTTTATTCTTTCCGAATATAACTTTACCGATACACTCAACTTCAACAATCGCGCTAAACAAACGATATAACAACGAACGTGCTCAATAATACTTCTGACTGCAGATCAATTACTCACTGTCTAGACACACATTACATTAATCCCTCGTCACGTTGTCACCCTCCGTTATATACCAGTCTACCCTCCATCTAGTAAATACTAGAGCATTCGCCAAGATACGGGATAGTTCTAGAAACGTGGCGTCACACCAGTCATGTGACTCGCTGACGCAACTATATATTTTGTTTACCTTGTGGACTTTGACAAATTCCGAATCATTCATTTAAAATTCATTAGTAGCTAGAAGACCAGACCAGTTTCAAACTGGTCTTCAATTTTCTGGCCATAGTTATTTCACTAAAGTCATATTAAGAAACACAGTATTTAGCGAGCTAACTTTCAGTGAAAGAACGACTCCATCGATAGAGGAAGAACTGAATCGTATCGAAGGGTGCGAGATATGCCTTTCCATTATAGATCCTAAGTTGTGTATAACTTAAAATATTTACATGTAATTTATAATCTGGAGAATGTGCGTTGCTCCAACAATGAACAGTGATCAACACATGATGAGAATAAAAACAGCTTTTAAATATGACTCTCTTATATTTATCCCGATGATTACGCAAAAAGCAACAGATGACACTTTGATCAAAGGCCAAAAGTTTGCAGTTTGGGCTGATAGATTATAATGGATTAACCAGAAAAAAAAAAAAAATGAAAGAAGTTGTCTTGAAAGCGGGAGGACAGCAAGTTATACTTAAAGCATTTTGTAATGATAAATGTGATATGAGAAGAGAAAAGAGGTATGATTCTATTTAAACTACTTACTAAAGGAAAACAATTATACTTTATATAGAAAATTACATTGAATCATGTCCATCCTGCCAAACAAAATGAAAACTTGTTAAAACTGAGGAGGAATTCAAATCTCTACCGGTAGTATCTCCCTTGTATCATATTGAAATAGACTCTGTCACAATATCGAAATATTCATATGGAAGTCAATGTTTTACTATTGTGGACACTTTATTGAGTGTTCGAAGACACAAAGGCAGAAACCTTCCAGACCCCACAGCTAAACCCTAATGCAGACATATTCAGTCCCGTTAGAAGTCACATCCCAGATATGAATGTCAGTAATAGGAGTGATCCAGTGCGAAGGAAGCCACAGGAATTCGATGGGAAGGCACCGTGGGAAGCATATAGAGCACATCCGGGCAGAAATAAATGGATGGACAGAGGAGCAGAAAGCAGTATATCTGGCAACGAGCTTAAAAGGACAACCACTGGAAATACTTGGACAGTTGTCAGCAGATGACAGACACAACTATAGAGCACTGGCAGCGGCTCTAGAACTCAGGTACGGAACCCAAAATCAGTCAGAAGTCTACAGGGCTAGGTTTAGGACGAGAGTCTATGCTAAAGGGGAGAGCCTGCAACAGCTGGCACAGGACTTGGAAAGCATGGCACACAAGGCCTACCCAACTGCACCACCCGATCTCCTCAAGTTGTTGCTGACGGATCAGTTGGTAGATGCCTTGGACAGTCCACAACTTAAGATACAAGTGAAGCAAGCACACCCCTCTACCATGCAGGATGCAGAGGCCAGAGCTCTTGAATATGAATCCTACGTTAAGTCCAGCACAGAGGTACCGAGGTTGGTACAGTCGTCAGGATTCAAGGCCAGAAAAAGTCAGCTTTTAGAGAGATTTGAGTGACTTTGCTGGCACTGTAATAAACATGGGCACAAGAGAGCTCAATGCTGGAAACTTCAACACAGGGGAGATGATACAGCAGGAAAGGCTGCTACCCAGAAAGGCTGTTGGAACTGTGGGGAGCAAGGACATCTCAGGAGCCAGTGTAAGAAAAATACCACCAATAAGTCAGCTTCGGGAAACCAGTAGTGCTTGGCGCTAAGGGACGCCCACCAACCTCCATCGCGAATCTCCCAACAGCTAAGTGTGAAATGGCAAGCACACATAGTATCTATGTGACAGGAAAGCTAGAT